CTGCCTTGTTTTTGGAAACCTGCCTGAACCGATTAAGTCTATTTCTCCGTGCTTCAGATCTGCCATACTCACCTGTCCCGTCCAGCCTCGCCTTTCATCTCTCCCCGGGTTCTCTGGACCCTCATACTTGGGAGAGAAGAGACCCTGTTGCTGCCCTGTTTAATATCGCAAACTGCATCAAATTGTTTAAACTATCACCTATCTCTCGTGTCTGCACTGTGGGTCCTGATAACAACTGCTAGATTTCAACAGATTCCACCATAAAATTTAATTTTCCTGAATTCAAATACTGAAACACTGCTAATATTCATTTTATAAAAGTATTAGATAAAAGAAAACTGCTTGATGAAATATAACTGTTTACTTTGCAGCAGAACTCAATGTGCAGTCAAGTTCCTGATAGTGTTGACATAAAGGTTATGCAAGTGTTAAATGCCATTTTGATAGGACAAACCCAGTTACCAGTGAATGCAGCTGTATGTATATGGAAAACAAGGGCTGATCTTACAGTCTAATGTGCTTTTAATGACTTTCAGCTATCTCTGCACTTTATCTTAGTGTTTGACAAAAATTGCATTAGCTTAAATAGAACACAACAAATCTACCATTACCTGAAAGTAACCTTTAAAAATCAGAGTGGTTTGGCTCCAAAGAGAGGTTTTCTCTTTTTGAGGAAAAAGGTGCCACTGCGTCCAACAATACCTGCATTAGACAGTAGGTGCAGTTAACAGAAGCCGTCACTTAAGCAATATACGCGAGAGGAGGTGATGTTGTACTGACATAATGTGAGAAAAGTGAAGCAGCGATTTCACCAGAGGCTAAAAGATCTGACCAGAGCAGCTGGCTGAAGGAGCTGTGAACAGATTTTAAATTAATTCTGTAAGAAAAGCACTGTTCATACAGATTATACTATCTTCAAGTGGCTGTCCATGCTGTACATTTTCAGTACATCTTTGCGAGTTTCACGTTGATCAGCACATTGAATTGGCGGCTGCAATAAGGCAAACACAAAACATGCAGGTTTCTTGGCTCCAGCAGCTGTCCTCCAGGAAGCTACAGGTACGTACATCTGCTTTGTGAGCGGTCCGACTGAAATAAATGTTGAAGGGATGCCTGTGTGATGATGTGCTCATCGGACAGTGTGCTCCCCACTCGCTAGAGGAGATGTAATAGGAGTGGACAGGCCTGTGAAGGATCAGTGAACAGTTAATGACTTGGCGTTCTCCAGCCAAGAAGAGATGAGACAATAATGTGGGCCAAGTCTAAGACAATGTAAGCAATAACTTGTTCTACTGCAACAGTAAACAGTCATCTAACACATAGTATTTTTCAGTCTTGGCTGAAAATAATAGTAGACTAAAAACAGCTCCTGTATCAGTGATATAGATCCTGGCAGGTGACCAACCAGATTAAACCAGTAGTCTACTGTATGTTGTAGGTGACTATGGTTATGTATAATTTTCTATTCTTTCATTAAGCCAAAGGCAATACAGTCATTTAGTTCATCAGGACGAATAACATCATCGCCCTTGACCAGCGGTGCTGACTGCTCTGGTAACACAAATCTAGCTTCAGGGTCTCCATAGGATTCAGTCAGACCCGTAGTGAGATGGCAACATAAGATGCCCTTTGCTTAGAAGCCTCCTTAGAGACCAACAGTGCAACATGTTCTCACTCCCAACCCGTCACACATGTACACTTGGTCATGAAGTGCCACATTTATTAATGGCAGCGCCAGGAGGTGTTTGGGGCGGATGTGGGGCGAACAAACTAAAGTGCACAACTGTCACCCCGAAGACTGAGGTTTGCATCCACAGTGCTATGGTTAAGTTTAGGCAACAAAAGTGCTTTGGTTAAGGTCAGGGAAAGATTCCTGGTGTGATACAGAAAGAGGTCACTGTGACTTCAGAACCATAATGTGGTCTCACCCCATATACATAAGCAGGCAACGGACTGCAGTTTGACTGTATCGACTTTCAATGCAGAAGAAAACATTGTCTAGAACTGTCTGGAAAATTACACTACACGGTTCCCAGTGTGTTAAAAACAAGTGGCAACCTCTAGGGGTGAAAGATTAAACCAAGACAGGGGTCAGGCCCTCCGGGGAGAATGTGTGTATTCAAGCTGGTATCCAGAGGCAGCTCCTTATGAGTCCCAAAATCCCCAGCTCCTCTTCATTGTCACTGAGCCCCTCCTGTCGTCACCTGTTCCAGAGCTTCCAGCCCATAAAACCAGTGCGGATTGTGTCGGATTAGAGGGAAATATGAAGGAAGCGCAGGTCCAACAATGTCTGTTTACCCTTGAAGTCGAAGCAGAAGACTTTTCGCCTTCATCCCACCTGTACCCACGAAGACAAAGGTGTCAACCCACAATGCTGACCTACCACATCCTGGGCGAGCCCACATTGTAGAAACTGTAGGTTTGAGGACATTACTGCTATGCCCATTACTACGAAAGTTCAGTGGTGTCTCAGTGCCTCTAAGGTCTTGTAATGTTTTGCGTTCTTCTTGTTTCATTGATGATCCTTATGTCTGTGCTTCGATGTCACAAACTTTGTGAAACTTTGCTTTGAAATCTTTGATTTTGCCTGTAATTCACTAATAGAAGGTTTTTTTCTGAGATATGTGTTTATTTGAAGTATATGTATGTAGGCATTGTGATATGGCTGGCTGAATATCCTGTTACGGGTTTAAAATACAGTTATATTTACCCTTACTTCTCAACATAACTGACAATGTAATTGTAAGGAGACATTTTTAAAGGAGTTGGATATTGTGGCATATATCATGTTTATGTTTATTTGCCTACTCATTTGTAGACATGTTTTACTTCATAAATAATATGCGTCATTTCCTTTATTAAGCAGCATCATATTTTATTAGTGGTGTACCCTTAAAGTGATAGTTCACGTTATTTGACGTGGGGTTGTGTGAGGTACTGTGGTTGATTCAGATCAGCGTGCTGCCAGTTTAGAGAAACAGCAGGAGCACCAGCACAGAAGCAGAGCGATGTGCTACTGTGGACTGGGTCATCTGCAAAAACATGTTTTAGAAGTCACAGACTGTCAGTAAAGCCACTGAAGACCACCCAAGTTATTGATTGTTTTCTTTATTCTTTCAGAATAAAACCACCCTCCCTTCTTAAAATCTGTTCATCCTGAGTCCAGTGTGATTCATGTGTGCAGCCAAATGTTTATATAATAAGTTCCTTATGAATGGAAAGTGCATACAAGTCCCCCTCCAGCAGTTGTCCTGCATTATCCCCATAGTATTACTGCATGCAGTTATCTTTAGTATTCCATCTAAAATTACTTTGCTTATAACGAATTTACTCAGAAAAAAGGCCTTTTTCACAGATGTTTTTATGTCACAGGTGTAAATAATAAGGTGGGTCAGTTTCAGAGTCCTGATTTCTGCATTTTACCTCGCTGTCACTCTGTCATGGCTTTCTTCAATAATTCACAGCTGTTGTTAATGTTATTAATAACAGCTGTGCTTTTCCTACTATGACAGGTCAAAATGTCTGCTGTGAAAGTGGCACATTGTAGTTACATAACGTACATCACAGCTCAAGCCTGTCAGATAAACTTTTATGGGAATCTGTTTTGTACACACATAATAAAAGTTGGAGAGACGGTTTATCCAGGGGATGGATTATAATTAATCTGAGGATTTTGTATTCAGTTTGTCTCTTTGGCATCTGCAGCATGACCTTGATAGTACTCTCAATGTTTTCAGGCTACTGAACTGAATTCTTATCATTATAATCATTTATCATTATATTTATATTATCATTATTATTATTATCATTACAGAAACAATGCTATTGCCAATGAGTGATGGTTTACACGCTAAGGTTAACATACTTCAGACCCAGTGGCGTGCCATCAGGACAACCAAGACAAGCAGTACCCTAAGTTAAAATAGACGTCAATTAAAACAATAGAGAAGTGGAAGCGATATCTCTCCTTACATGTCAGACCAAAGGAGCTGATATTGCATGTTTGCATTCATAAGATATTGTCTCTGGAAGCTAGGTTGAGGGTTGTCCTGGGCTCTTTGATGAGTGACTATAGCTAGCTACAGACAAGTGTGCTTGTCAAGATGCCCTTGACTCAGCTTCCGCTGTTCTGAGATCAATTATGATATTGCACACATTATTAGGCACGTGCACAGACATGCGGAAACTGTACTTGCGCATTAGAAAATTACTATAATGATGATAACCCAAAAATTTTTTGATATTTAGATATTATTTCTCTATACTGCATATTTGATATGTTTACTGTCAGTTCAAATAATTAATCCTAATACGTCTTCAGCCAGGAAGGATAGCAGAAAGGTGAAAGTCCAGGCAGAGTGCAGCAAGATGCAAGTTAGGAAAGGCAGCACAAGGCAGTTCTTTGGCTCTGCTTGCCTATCTGTAAAAGTCACCAGATGCCACTGTTCACACTGTATGATTGCTGTCTGACTAAGATGATGGAAATGTTGGACATTGTTGTAGCTGCAAAATTTGCAACAGCCTCACGAATCATTTGAGACCTCCTAATAGACCTGCAGGCAGTGTGTAACCACATACACAAGAAGCACTGTAGTGTAACCTGACAATCACTGTTTTCTATTTTTCCTTTAGTCCTGAAGCTTTTCGCAGAGCATGGTGAATGTACATTGTATATGGCTGACTTGTACACAAACCATCAACCAGCTCCAACCATGTTTTACTATCTTCATAAAGCTGTTATATAAGCCTCAATTAAGATGGACGGCCTCAAGCCCTTTACACACAAAGACACATCTGGAGACAAACACATTGGTCTAGAAAGTGATGGATGTTTTATATTTTTCAGACTTATTCTACACATGCATGTTAGATGTTGTTGTGAAATAAATATATCCAGTAAACAGATAATACTGAAAAAATTATATGAATTGATGAAATGATATAAAAGATATAATTTAACCAGTTCATTAATCAGTATAAAGTTCCTGTTTTTCTCATCATCACATTGTGCTCTCAGTGCTGAAGTAGCCCGGTTGTCCTCCTTCTGCTTGACTGAGCACAGTCAGACACCTGTCGTCAGTGGATTTTGGCTCAGCCTGTTCACAGTTGCTGTCATTTCCACCAGTGGTCATTCCTCTTTTAGAGGGCAAGGCAGCAGCAGTACATTTCAAGGACTCGGTTATCACTGTGTTACTTTCCTTGTCTGACAGCACTGTGGCTTTGCGGTTGCAGCTTCTCATTCCCTTGCGGAAGCGTATGGTGAACAGACCGTAGATGATGGGGTCCAGGCAGGCGTTGAAAAGACCAAAGATGAACAGGATGTGGGTAAGGGAGTGAGAGACTTTCCCCTCCAGGTCATCTGGGAAGAACCAGTACCACAAACCCAGCAGGTAGTATGGAGTCCAGCAGACTATGAAGCATATCACTATAACGATGCTCATTTTCAGAGTTCTCATTCGTGCTTTGGGGATGTTGTTCTTTGAACAACGTAGATGTGGCTCATTGGAGGACACTAGAGAAGAGAAAAAGAGTCAGGTATTAGTGGATAATAAGTGCAGAAAATGTAGATCTTTTTCTGATCCACTTGTCTATGTCAACCTTACACTGCCTCAGCAAAGGACTCACAGCTTTTCTTTGTCATCCGCTTTGAGATCTGGATGAAGATCCTGGTGTAGCAGACAATCATTATGACCAGTGGCAGCAGGAAGAGGCAGCAAAAGGTAAACATGTTGTAGGCAGTTTCCTGCCAGTGAGTGACAAAGCTCCCCCTTGTGGTGCACTGTGTGAAGTTGGCTGGATACGTGATGGTCACATTGTGGAAAATGAACAACTGTGGATTTAGAAATAAAATCATGTTAGGATAGCTTTTCGGTGGCAGCAGTTGCCATCCAGTATTTTCTTGGTCCTGTCTGTCTGGTACAGGTGAGATGTAAGGATTAAAGCATTATGTAGTACTGATATTCCAGTGGTTTGACCAAATAGCCCAGTGTCCCACAGAATTATGTTCATGTAGGTCGCATTATTTACTGGCAGTATTCAAAGCCATTTAGTAATGTGTCCTTTATTTAACATGGCAAAAACTAAAGGAGTGGAGGTGGATGATAGGTGTTTTACACATTTAACTTTGATGCTTGTGAGTTCGTATCCCATCTCAAACAAGCAACTGACAGTAAAATCCTGTGGTTGTCCAATCATAGCTTAATATCCATAACTATGAAGACCAAGGTCATTTAGTTAAATATTTCCCCACTGTGTGGAAGCTACTCTTGGATGCTGCAGACTTTAGGCTAACGTTAGAAGCTCTGTCCTGCTGTTTAATGGATTTGTGTACGGTTATACTTCAGCAACCCCAGCCGAACTCATTACCAGAGATAGCATTTGCGAGACACATTGGTTAGTCCCCCCATTCAAAAAGCAATTTCTCTTGTGTTCCTTTCTCTCTTGTATTCTTGTGTCTGTCTCTGTTTTTTCCTCCTCATACTTATAATACTAGAATTACTCTCTCCACACTAAAGTGCAAGGACAATGTTGTTTCTTAATTTGTCTTCTACATGGATCATGGTTTACTCTCTTCCTCCCTCTCTCCTGCTCTCTTTTGCTCAGTGTGTCTTATGTTTAGTTATTCCTCTGCCTCCTTTAGTAATAATGACACATCTAATGAAAGTTGTTTCCCTGCAGCTCCTGAGTAGCCGGAAAACCAGAGCAGCAAGGTGACTGCGTGACAAGGTCTTGGAACTTAATGATACATTGATTATTTTTTACATCAATGTGTTTTTGACCAACTAAAGAGTTTAATTAGCTAGCTATCTGTTTAAATCTGCTTGTGACAATTGGTGTTTCTGCTAGCAGAATTGGCATTTGCAGGAAAGAAATGAGAAGCAGATTTTGAAAACATCTGTCTGAAATTCAGGGCTCATTGCTTCAAATCTTACTAAGAATTTTGAGCCACTGTTGTCACTGTAAACTGTGTATGTGCTGAATGGAAACCCCGACAAGCGTAGCAACAAGCAGTCAGCACTGACTTTCTTATGTTTAAGATGATTTTTCTCTAACTCTTAACCATTTTTGGTGTCCTACCCATAACCATAATTCATTTCTTAATTAATTAATTAATTAATTGATTATTTTGTCTATAACATGTCCAGAAATAGTGAAAAAATGTTATAAAACATTGTAATTTCCCATATCTCAAACTGACATGTACATGATATTCTGTCTGACTAACCAATCGATCACCTAATCATTTCAGCTCTTATATTATTGTATTTGCTATCTGTGGATATTGTACAAATCGTAGATTTAAAAACACTGGTATTGAACATTTAAAACTTTTGTGACCCACTCCTTTGGAGAATCATCATCAAAATTCTCTGTGGTGAGTGGGTTTCACCGTGTCATCACACTCCTGCTGTTTTCTCATAACACGATCAACAGTGTTACACGCTATGCAGCCAAATATCTTAATGGTTACAGTGAAGCATCTATGCTGGCAGGATTAGGGATTCCCATCCTTGTGTTAGTCAGTGATAGAGCCACTAATCCCTAACACCAAGACCATTTGGGGCCCCTAAATCATGCAGCAAGGTTTTTCCTGCATCAAAGAAGAATTTCAAGAATTTTCCATACAATTTATGTAGAGAAGTATGTAAACAGAGAGAATGATGAAACATGTGTAAGTAATTGTTTCAAGGTAAATGTAAAACTAAATTATAATTTCCTTTAGCATGTGTAGTTATTAGACTGAGCTAATATATGTAAATCCAGAACCTGCTCACTGGAATACTGTATGGAGCATGGAGGAGAGGTTTCAGTTGTACAAGGAAAAGCTTAACACAAGAGACAGATCAGTTCTCCCCATCTTATAATTCAGCACTTCTCTCTGAATCTTTCTGTTTAACTGAACCAAACAATCTGTAATCACCAGTCTTGTCAAACCACAGCATCTGGCCTTACCTGAGGGACTGAGAACAAGGCGCTCATAGTCCACGCCACCATCAGCATGACCCTGTTCCTTCTCCGGGCCATGCTAATGGCCAGAGGGTTGAGGATAGCTGACTGTCTGTCCAGACTAATCACCACTGTGACAAAGGCACAGGAGTACATGGCCTGTAGTTTGAGGAACATCAAGAATCTGCAGGCCAAGTCGCCAGCCAGCCACTGCACTGTGATGTTCCACACAGCATCCACGGGCATCACGATGAAGGTAACCAAGAGATCGGCTGCAGTCAAGTTGATTATCAGCACTCTGACGTGGGATTTGCGCTTGTGGCCGTTGGCGGCCCACAGCACAGCCAAATTGCAGAAAGTGGAAATGCCACACAGGATAAAGGTAATGATCACTCTGACTTTGGCTGCTGTGGAAAAGGTAGGCAGCTGCAGCGCTCCGTCCGTTGATGTCCAGTTACAGTGGGGAGCCAGCCAGTCACAGCTGGCATTGAGGTCAAATCTGGCGTTCTGCTGATACATGATGACCGGAGGAGCACAGCAGGAGGAGGTGTTCATTTTCTGACCCTCACCAATGAGGCAGCATTTTGTTCTGCTACATGGAGGCTGGTGGTGGAAAAGGGGAGATGAGGCAAATAAATTTGTCAATGAGTCTTATGTATGAAGTTGATATTAAAGATTCATCTGTCTGGATTTCAATAAGAAGACTAGTTCAATGAGTAACACAGTGTCAGACAGAGAGGGAGCAGTCTGCTGGGTAGGGCGCATAACTCTGATGCTCACTGAGGTGGAAAGATGCTATGATTGCCTCCAACAATGTGCAGAGGCGGGTCTCCAAACTGCTGAATTTGCAGCATCACCAACAGAAACACCTGACAACCCATCAGGTTAATTACATCTCAATGATAATAAATCCTCTTATTAGACAAAAAAGTAGGGTAGGATAATCGGTTTAAACAAGTTCCACTCATGTCTCTTTTCTATGGGAAGCCTTAGTCTGGTATGTAGAATACATACTTTCCCATATATCAAGCTATTTTAGAGAAGTAGTGAAAATTGCAATAAATAAAAGCTATAATAGGTTCAGTTTTGCATGATAAGGTATCAGGTTGTAACAGTGGAGAGAAAATGTGGTCCTCCAATTATACAAAGATATATATCAGCAGTTTAGACCTGCAGCTGATGGCAAATTTAAATAAGTAGCCTATGTTAATATCGTGAATTATAATTGGTTTATCGGTTTAAAATTCACGGATGACCCTCAAAACAACGGTACCAACAACATACATCACCTATAGACATAACTGTCTGATTGTACAGAATGTTTTTCTGTATTGACAATAAAGCAAAATAGCCTACATGTACTAATATATAGGCTAAATACAAGAAATCCCTACAGCAGACTTACATTGATGCCCGTGTAGAGAGTGATCAAACAAAGTGAAATCCTCTTTACAAAAGTCCCAGACCCCATTGAGTCCCCATCTCCCCGCTAGACTCCGTACTGACTGACTTTCTAGAGAGTGTCAGTCAGTCTGAAGAAGAGTGTCCAGTCCTCCCCTATATACAGCCTATGGTCTTCCCTCGCAGCTTGATCACACTGAGCCTTTTTCACATGCATTTTGTAGCCTGCCCCCTTCGCTGTGCGCGTCAGTCTCTCTGTGGGCGCGGCTACGAGCGTCTCGGGAATCTCTTCAGTTTTTCCGACGTTTACCCCGCCGGAGTAAACGCTAAGAGACATGGCCGCGCTTAATGGAACCGTTTTCATCCAGACTGACCCAAACCTGCTCTTATTAACTGCATTGATTATGAGTGTCCACAATAACAAGATAATGTACAAAATAAGTGAATGCCTAATGTTTACTTTTTCTTTACATTGTATCACAGAGCTGTTATTTTGTGGTGTTTGTGGCATTAGAGTGAAGCATTATATTGAATATATTCTTATTTTGTCCACTTCATTCTGTGTCAATGCCCTCCTATTGGCCAATACAGTGTTGTATTATCTTGCATTCCTTACCAAACCTGTACACAGAGTCTTTCCTACATATGTACAACTTACAACATTGAAGGCTTCCTTCAGCCAAATCACATGAGGTAAATAAATATGTATTTCTCTCTTTCCACTACTGATATTTGACCCTGCAGATAGGTTTGATCGGGGATGGCATCTCATTGTGGTGGTTAAAGCATGAAAAATGACCTTTTTTTCTTTTATTTTGTGTGAAATAGGCTTTTAAGTACCCCGCAGGAACTTGAATGCTCTGACCACCGCAGTCTTTCTGCAAGCTTTACCCATGTTCCTACACTAGAAACTGAATTCATTGTTGATGCTATATAAATAGCTAAATTTAATCTACTTAGGTCTTTTATTGTTGCACCAGTTCCATAAGTCCTGGCTTTAAGAAAAGTATAAATGTGTTTTCTGCACTTCTGGAAGAACAACATTTAAAGCTGCTATCATCAATATTTTTATAGTCCGACTGATACTGGTCTGGCTTTACTGAGATGGAGAAACCTACAATCTGCTGAAGGGCTCCAGCTGGACTCCAAACAGGCTTTTCTTCTCCTACATGTCAAAGTAACTTGATGGCTACATAATGTTACACGTCTGTTTTCTTTAGTGACTGGCTACTGTAGGTACGATAACATTAGCTAACTTGCTGTTACCGATATTACAAATGGTTTCGGCAAATGTTGCTATCGTTAGCTGGCTAACTGTCAACATTCCTGTGGAGCATACAGTATCATGGCAATGCTAGCGTGGGCTGATGGTTGTGTGGTTTTTGTTGTATGCAGGGTAACTTTATTCAGTTGAGCTTCTTGTTGTGTGTTTAGTGTTTGTCTTCACTGTGTTCACTGAGTGTGTTCACTGAGCTTCTTCACACCTCGCTAACTGAGAACGTGAAGGGAGGGGAGGAGGGTTGTGGCCGAACGGAGGCCGGAAGTGTGGTCGACGAAGCATTTTTATTGGTCTGAGATGCTGGTGGTCTGGTGCGACATCTAGTGGCAGTGACGATCGTTTACTGAACCTTTAACAATTACTCACATGACGTTTTAGCATCTTTCAGCACATTGTTTTCGTTGTCCAGCCAGCAACTTTACTGTTCTGGTTCATCCTCACTGCTGTCATCACCTCTCATGCTGAATCCTGGTGCAGCAGGCAGTTGTTTCAGCAAGTGAATATTCTAAAATAGAAAGAGAAAAATGTAACAATGACCCAAGCAGTCATATGTTATAGATTTGTATGTGATAACGCACGCACACACACACACACACACACACACACACACACACACACACACAAGAAGTGGTCACCAATGTCTTGTTTCACACACATAGTACTCCCTCTCATGACAGCTTCTCTACACATTATTGTAAAATTGCAAACATCCTATAGGGTCGGTCGTTACAGCACACTATAAAACACCTACACTATACACTCCTGTTTTCTTCACCATGTCAGCAGTGATGGAGGAATAATCTGAGCTCTTTATAGGAAGTAACAAAAGAACCCTTATTTGTGTTTTCCCTACAGGCGCTGGAGAAAAAAAAAAGGATTTGGAAGAAAATAGAAAAGATTAAAAGACTTTACTGATACTATGACTGTCAGGAGTTGGAGATTTAGCATAATATTAACAAGTATTGATGTAGGACATGTTGTTTTGATATTAAATGTAATGCTCACCCAAATTTTTAAACCTAAAGTTGGACATGAAGCACAAATTTGCTGAACCAAAAACAATAATGAGCTAAATGAAATCCAATAAATTAATCAAACGCATATTTGAAAATATTTTATTTTTCCTCTCCACCTATTAGACAATAGAGAGGGAAGATTGACAGAAAAGATGTTGAGACAGAATGACATTGTGGGAAAGGTTATGACCTCAATCCAAGCCAACAGTCCATGACGTAAACTGCTGTCACAGGGTGATTATTTTAACAGCATGATAAGGTATCAGGTTGTAACAGAGGAGAGAAAAGCATCTGTTCATTCCAGTCTGACCACCGACAGTTGCAAAACATGAGATAAAGTGGTGGTGATGCATGTAAGAAAGCAATTTGGTTTGAATCTATAAGGACCTGGATCAGGTGTCATTCAGCCTTTGCTGTATCTCATAATGTGAAAAAGTACTGATATGTTTGTTAAAAGTATTCTTGCTATCCATATGAGAAACTAACATAAACAACAGGAAGTTTTTACATAACTTCACTCATAAAACTTTTATCAAACCACCATCTATGCTATTCAGCTGATTCAGTTACATAATAATGATAAACACTGTTTTTCTTTTCAAAGACTAAAAAGAAATAGGAGGCTAAACAGTGCCAGTCACTGCTCTGTGTTTGGTATAAAGTCTTGAGAAATTCAAATGAGAGATTTAATTAAAACGTGCTATCGTTCATGTAGCTGAAATCAATTATTTGACATAATCACTACAAATTAGATGGAAAAGGCCCATAATAAATATGAAAAATCAAAGTATGTTTTAATTAGAAAAAACTGGACACTGGGCAGTGACCATGTAGAAGAGAAAACAGACATACTGTTGATATGTCGTTGCTTTACCTGTCAGCCGCACATTCTCCTCTCCAGTCTCCAGTGGTGGATTATCAGCTGGGCAAAGTGATGGAGCAGCTGATTGGTGCAGGCTATTGGTTTATGCAGATGTTAGACTCTGGGCTATTGTCCAAAGAGACTATGACCTTCCCAGCTCCACAGCCATCAGACTCATTTTCAGGTTAATCCACAGTAATTGTGCTGCTTGTATTGAGGTTAAGTATTATTATCATTCATTGCTTCACTGTGATCCAGCCTAACCCCCCCCCCCCCCCCCCCCCCCCCCCCCCCCCCGCACCAGGCTCGTTCTGTCTTACCTTTTAGTATCCTGGACTCATGACACCTCCTGACCTGCTGCTTATACAACAGATGGCGGCAACCAACTGTCTCCTGTTTTTCTCTTGAAGCCAGGATAATGCTGGGTGTACTGTTCTTACATTATGGCAACTTGTTATAAATTAATGTATAAGCTCAGTGGTCAAAACTGTATTGTGTTGCCAAAATAAAATAAAAAAAATCATTAATTATTGTCTTCTCGTCTGTCTTTATGTCAGCTCATTCTTTGGTATCGTTTTATTCAAAAACCATTACAGAGCAAACTGAAATCACGAAGCAGACGTACCCACAGCCATATATTGCGGTATCTGCTTGCGACTCCCGCTCGTACGCACTGATACGTTAAAGACAAGCCTTCAAGCTTAACTGTTCCTCTGTTCTGAAAGCTTATTTTTGTTGGTATACATCACCTGTTTTAATATTGCTTTGTTTGCCAGATTTATATTTTTGCATTGTCTTGTAACTATTATACTGCAAGGTTTCCCTTAACAAAAGAGGTTTTCCAGATCTCAGGACTGTTAGGCTACCATGGTCTAAATAAAAGTCAAGGTAAAAAAAAATATAGGTAAAATTAACAGAATGCCTCTAGTGTCTCTGCAGTAGTCATGTTGAACCTAAAGGCAAAGTATCATGCTGTACTTTTGCAAAAAGCACAGAT